TTATCCCTTCGTTATCCAATGGTTTATTACTCATTGTCACACTTTCCCTGCGGTGATTCTTCTCGTGTAGTTCCTTTTTCTTTGCCTTATCTCTTTTCTCCACTGGTTTAAGCACAACCTCAGCTCCTTTCTGATCCGTGCAAGATGATACTCTAAGAACCGCATTTTCAGAGCTGTTCGCCATGGCAAAGTTTCCATGGGTATTGATTCTCTTTTCGTTAACTTTCGTATGGTTGGTTTGAGGAACTGGGCAGGAGATGTTGTTCTCTGCAACTCCACAAGGAAAACTAACCTTTTTTTGTGGACTTTCGCTCTCAGTAGCTTCTTCTTCATCTCTGATCCTTCTTACCAGATCCTGTATAAACTTAGACTCTTCATCACCATTATTCTGGAAGCTAGTTGTTACAAGTTTTTCTTTTTCCCCGTTTCTCGGCAGAACACCAGCAGCTTTTTTGTCCTCTGAAGTTCTGCTCTTTTCCTTATCCCGATCTTTGTCTTCCCTACCTTTATGTTTCTCTTTTTTCTCCTTCCTTTCCTTACGTTTGTCTTTGCTTGTTTCTTTATCCTTTTTCTCTTTTCCTTCTTTCTTTTCTTTATCTTTCTTATCCTTCTTGTGCTTCTTCTCCTTGTGTTTTTCCTGCGGTTTAAATCCCAGGAGAAAAAGACCACAAGTATATAAGTGATTATTAGAAAAAAGGCATACAAAGAATCAATTACCTTAACTTGTCATTTCTTGGGTCAAGTTAAATAAGTTTTGAGAGATGAGAAACCAGGTGAATCGTTATTTCAAGACAGACAACCTCCGGTACATACCTAGTCTGATACATTTAGCTCGACACACTAATAATTCTTAGGCTCCTAGCTACATTCCCTGCAGTTTCTTTATTATTTCCTTATTAAGTGATATTACTAAGTCTGTAGTTGACAGTAAACTTTAGGTAATATAGCCAAACCCTTACGCCAATAATCCATGATATACAATTATCTAATATCCAAAACCACCAGCTACACGAACATATGTTCACTTTAATATGTCTGCATCAGAAGTTAGTCATGATCCTGCAAAGCAGATGCTGTATACTAGTAAAAATATTTAAGAAAAAGAAGTGGAAGGAGAAAAAGGGCAGTCTAGAAGCTACTAATGCAAGAACAGCCTAGAAGCTACTAATGCAAGGACATGAAAAGTAGTAGTACTACAAAACCTATTATTAAGGTGATAAAAGATAGAACGTGGACGATTCCTCAACTTATCTAAGCCAATTCATTTACATTTATGGTTCTCTCATATGAGGTAGTTTCAATCCATCAGTATTGATGATGCATTACGGGTATCAATTCCTTTTTCTCCACAAAACTATATTACGTGACAATACCTCAGACTTGACCAACTAACAGCAGTGCTACAATTATAAGAGAAACTAATTCTGCAACAGTCTCTATGTCCCTTACTCTAACACTTTACTGGGTCCATAAGTTTTAGAAAACAACACAATAGATCCCACAAATTCGTTCATTTATCGTAGACAGAAGTCTTCAAAGTAGAGCAACTCATCGGACTCCAGTCTCATCATACGCAAAGTTTTCTCCATCGGGTTTCTAAAAGCCTAGAGGCAAGAAATGTTTTTTACCTAGCAAGTCTAGTCACTCTCCAACAAAAATCAAGCACGATACGAAAGATGATAATTTCAAAGGAGAGTAGATCCTAAGAGTGAACCTTTATTAGAGAGCCTGGTTCATCGGTTCTAATCTTCTTCTCATATCCAGGAGGTGGAAATGGGAAGCAACGAGACATGGCACTTATCCGTCAAATCCGTAAAGTGGTATACTTTCAACCACTCTTTGTTAATTTCTAGCTCCTTTATCCCAGCACCTGACCAGATCAGAATCTATGATCCAGTCCACCATATCAATAAAAACACTCAAAAGCTCCAAACTTTCTTTATCATCTTCCCAAAAGCCAACTCCACAGATAGATCCTCAACACACTATAAAATTAGCAATTTCACACCTTTGGAACCTCAAAGATTTTTGGCTAACCTGCCAAAACCAACATCACCAGTAATCGATATCATTTTGGGACCATCAGCAATTCCTTAACTCAAAGGTTATAGTTAGAAGCTCAAATCACCTTATCGGTAGCCGCCAAACAAAGTTGGCGTGATTCCGATTGAATGTGAAGAAAAAATCCGATTTTGAGGAGCTACTAACTCGCGAATCAAAACAGAGTCACACTTATTCCGCTACAATTTCAATCTCGAACAAGTCTTTCATCTCCGATAGTTAACCCTAATAGTATACAAAGCCGCAATTAGGGTCCAAATCAAAAATTACGATCCAAATCAAACCCTAGAAAGAAAAAAAACCTAATCGAAACCAAAATTGAGAAGTGCAAAAGTAAAAAAACCGAAATCTTTGAGGAAACCCAGATAGCAAAAAAAACGTAATTGTAGCTTAAGTATCGACGGATCAAATTGCAAAACTTTGTGGTGGAGACAAAGAAAAAAAAAACACGAAATTTCACTAAGGTTTTCTTTTATGGGAAGAAAAAAATAGAAATCAACGGTGTTCTTTGAAATATAGCTTTGGTTTTTTTTTTTTTGAAAATAAAATACAAGACAAAGAGATTGGAAGATCTCAAAGAGAAGAGGAGAGAGAGAAGAAGAAATACAAAAGTGAGAAATATTTCTCCTCTCTCTCTATATCAATCTCCATGTGTTGGCATATGGGTGTGTATATACCTTCTCTTTCTGTATATATCTGTAATG